CTGGCAAGTGCACGCACCCTATAGCAAAAACCTCTCCAAAAAAAAAAGAAAAGTATAGTGTCTCTGGCTTCCTTGGAGTTTGACTAGAGCTGGGCTTTAGCCCTGATAGACACTTTATTGAGAAACTTGACATTCACCTGTCTGTTATTCAAATATTGATTCACCGCCTTCTAATTACTAAATGCTAAAGACACATGATAAATATAGAATGATCTCTGCTCTTGGGAAATTTTTAATCTACTGAGAGGTACAGGCAACAGTTTAGTAGCTAAATACATTTTGGCAAACAAGGTTAACTGCTATGAAATACATAAACAACATGAAATGATGAGGCAGTATGGAGGAAGGTGTAAAACTGTGGGATGCTCAGGAAGGACTGAGGAATGGCACTGAAGCCAGCCATAAAGGGGTGGGAAGAGAACCCAGTTTGCATTTCTTTCTCTCTTGTCTATAAGCCTTGGTCCAAAGCTACCCCTACACATAAACAATGTCCAATCCACCATGCCATGTTGTATCCTGCCTCTCCTTTTGTTTGTATACTGAGGTCCACTTTTTTCAAATAAAAATCCTCTTATTAAGTCCATTTTGAACTCTCTGGTAGAGTTTCCCTCCTTCAAATTCAAATTCTGGCCAACTCTCTCCCACTCACCCATAACTGCTTAATTGCTGGGAATACATTTTCATAGGTTACATGGTTATTTGTCAAACTTCCTGGGGGCATGGAAGCCCATTCTTTAGTACTTATTCCAAACATCCGCTAAAGAACTGAACAATCCTATTCTTTATAGGTAGCATTTCCAAGTGTCTCAGTCCTATGTATCTCCTTAGATTTTTTGTTTTTGTTTTTGTTTTTCTTTTGTTTTGCCACAGTCATGATTTGTTAACAAAAACCTTTGTATTATGGTTAAGACCAATGGCTATCACATGCATTCCTAAGCCATTTCTTTTTGTTGTTGTTGTTAAGTAATTATTTTATTTTATTTATTTATTTTAATCTTCTGTAGGTCATGCACACTCACCAGAGAGAGACAGAGACAGAGAAAGAGAGAGAGAAAGCAAGCCACCAGGTTTGAGACTAAAATGCAATCAACCATGTGAGAGTCCAGTGCCTTAACCACTATACAACCTGCTGGCCCCCCTAAGTCATTTCTTATTTCCAGAAGTAACATGCATTTATTCAGTTGTCCAATATTCTGTGACTGAATGACAAGAAGTGAGCTAGACCCTGTAGGAATATGAAGATGAATAAGACACAGCCTATTTCTAATCAGTGAAGCTACATATATAAACCTAATGGGATTTGATATGATGACTAATAGTAGGTATTTGGAGATGCTATAGAAGCAACTGTCAGAATAAGGGAAGGTAGGTCAGAGAGGGCTTCATAGAGGCGAGTCTTGAAGGGCAGGTAGCAGCTGTTCCAGGAGACGAGAGAAAGGACACAGGGTGTGTGATCACATGTAACGCCACCCAAAACCTTGTGTGACACAAGGGAGGTGAACATGACCTTTGACTTCTAGAAACATTTTTCACATCACAGGAGAAAATGAAGCAGGTTCAAGATTCAGAATATATGTTAAATAGGGCCACTTAAGGGCCAGCCAGGTAGCATGGTAGTTAAGGTGATTGGTCACATGACTGACTATAGTTCAAGTCTCACACACAGAGACTTGAAAAACATGATGGGCATGTGTGTGTGCATGCCAAAAGTCCTGAGGGGGAGAATGGAAGAGAAAGGATTACAATGTAGCCATCCACCCTGGGGACTAGGGAGTGCTTTCTTTCATATCTTCCTCCCTCCCTCTCTGCCTCCCTCCCTCCTTCCTCCCCTGCCCACCCTGTGAGCTCATGCTCCATATAGCAAATTTAAAAAAAAAATAAAAGAGGGAACCAGCAGTTAGCGTAATGGCTATGTCGCTGGACTCCCACGTAGTCAACTGCGGTTCACGTCCTGGACTCACAGCGGGCGAGTGTGCGTGTGTGCCCAGGATCCCAAGAGGAAAATGGAAGAGAAGAGATTGCGGCATGACCATCCCCCATGGGGGGTGATTTCTCACTTTCTGTCTCTATGTCTCTCTCTCTCTGTCTGGCGAGTGCACACACACTAAAGCGAAAATCTCTCCAAAAAAAAAAATTAAATAAAAAAATAAAAGATTAAAATATGGTCATTTTAAATGGTCACTTAAAATGAAAATTGAAAATATATTAACAGACAGGCAGGTGTTTTTGAATGGTTGTAAGTAAAAAGGAAATTATGGAGGGACTTTTCCTGGGGGGAAATTGCCACAATGTTTCAGGTGATCATGGTAGCCTTTCTGCATGATGACTCCTTTATTCAAATTAAACAACTAGTATTGACTGGTTTGCTTTTGTTACTGTGGCTATGAAGCATGTCTAATTACATTTTTAAAAATTAAATGCCTGGGGGCCAGCAGGTGGCTGGCAGTTAAGGGTGCTGGATTCCCACATGGCCAACTGTGGTTTGAGTCCCAGACCTGGCAGCTTGCTTTCTCACTTTCCCTTTCTATTGCTCTCTCTGGTCAAATTTGAATAATAATAATAACAACAAGTAAAATTAATTAAATAAATAATTCTAAAAAAAATTGAATATCTGCTTACTACTGAGGTCATTCTAGGGCATTCGATTACAATGTGCTTCCCAAGGAAAACTCTCCTTTAAAGCCCCTTAGACATTTCTCAAATGCAGGAGGCAAAAGAAACTCTACTGATATCTGAGTTTATACTTGAATGCTCGATATTTTCACCAGTAATCAAAAAGGTCTCTTCTGTTTTGATTTTTTCCTCAACCAGGTGATTTTATTATATATTATATCTCTGAGATTTCTAAAGAACATTTTATAATTGTCTTCTTCAACTTTCCTAGTGTTTTAATACCCCAAAAAAGGACACTTTGCTCAACATAGTGTTTTCTATACAGAAGAAACTTCTGTGACATGATTATAATTCCAGAAGAAGTCTTTCTAGAAAAATAAGTTGGAAAGTTTCATCAAAAAGAAAGGTTCCAATTGATAGAGTTTGTTGAATTTGGGAGCTGTGAAAATTACTCCTCAAAAGACTATATATGAAGTCAAATACACACACACATACACACACACATAAATTTATTAATGCCTTTTGGAAATAGACATAGGGGCTCAGGAAATAAATCATATTACTCCGTAGTAATGAGATTCTCAAACACAATTACATTTGTTATCTGGAGAATGTTTATTTGGTGGACACATCAGTCAGAAACACCATTACCAACCAGAAAGTGAGCTATACTACTAATAATAAAATGTTTGAGATGACAAGTTGAACTAGAATTCATTACATTTACTCAGGCACCTTCATTAAGCTGACTTACACTTGTTATAGAGCCTTGATTTTCTGATTTTATAGTGTTCTACACATTAGAAGCAAAATATAGTAAAACAAATTGAACAAAGTTACTGCTAAAGGCAATGGGAAATGGAAACTAACACCCTGCCTGAAAGAGAGAAAAACAACTATATAAAGAGAAATAAAAATGCAAAAAACAGGGCCCAGCAGGATGCATGGTGGTTAAGGCACTGGATTCCCACATGGCCAACCACAATTCAAGTCCTGGAATCAGTGGCTTAAAAATCACACTGGGCACTTGCATGTGCGTGTCTGAAATCCCAAAAGGAGAATGAAAGAAAAGGGATTATGGCATGATCATCCCCTAAAGGGGTGATTTCTCTCTTGCCCTCTCTCTGTCTCTTTCCAGCAAGTGCACACGCCTCCCAGCAAGGGACCCCCCCCCTAGGAAAAAACTTAAAAAAAAAAAAAAAAAAAAAAGAAAGAAAGAAAGAAAAGAAAAAAATCAAAACATTATGGTCTAAGTACTTAATGATGTACAGTATTCCTAGGGTAGGCATAACATAACACAATTCACTCTATGTAGTCATTTACTCTGCTGACTGAGATATGGGCAGTACATTTTGGATGGCTTTCCAATGGTTTTATATTTATATTTATATTGGAAGGGATGACTTGAGCTTTGGGAAAGATTTGCATATGAAAAAATACCTAATTTTTATTGCAAACTGCTGGACAATGGAAAGGTGACAATACTAAAATCATTACAGTCACTCCTGTAGCCTGTCTGTGCATGAGCATGTGAGTAATGGCTCTTTCTCAGTGTCCTTGCAACGAACTTTCTGCTAGATAATTCTACTTTTTTCTTTACCTTTCTCTTTCTCTCTTTCTAGCCGGAGACCACCCCCATCACCAACTCGTCCCACCATAATCCGTCCACTAGAATCTTCCCTGTTAGACTAAATGAAGTGTCTGGCATGGCAACTAATTACTAATGAATTGTGCAAAAGCAACATATTGATAACCATTGCAGTAAGTCATGAGTAGTCGCATGTGTGGACATCAGTAGGCAAGTAACCAGTCTTACTAAAGCATTCGTCACTCATCGTCATTGCTCATGGGATGTCAGCCCTTTGGGGTTTGATTCTTGAACACTGCTGACCCCTACAGGCTTTGTATGTTGTACTGACCAAGGTAGGTTTGTATAGCAGCCCTATACTTTGGGGATCCCTCACCTACTCTGGTATATATTTGCAAATGGCTTTGGACTAGTTTTCCAGGCTATCTACCAGGGAGCTCATTCCATATAATTCTGAACAGATCTGATACAGTGGGCTTAGACATAAGCCATACATATTTCTCTCCCCACATTCTGTTTGGGATGACAGAAATTCTGTTTGTTACTAATGCTGTCATCTATCCCCTAACTACGCATTTAGCTTCTCTTTTCTTCCTCTTTATTTCATAAGACTGCTAGAAAAGTGGTATCTTAAAATTTGACTTCCTTAAGAATAAAACTTTTCCAGAAGCAGAAGGCAGTTTGCACAGGAAAAGTCTGAACTGATTGCTCAAGAAAGCCTCTCTATTTGCCATTGCTGAGCACATAAAGCTACAAATCAAAGCTGGGTTTCTGGTAACCAGTCAGCTCACTCGGCTAGTTCGTTTCAGTTTTAAGGAAGAAGCAAAATATCACATGTCTAAAAGTGTCTGGGAAAATATAATTGTATTCATTTATGTATTCACCTTCCGATGGTTTACAATGAAAGTGACATAGAAGATGTTTAATTTTTCCAGTTGATCAAATTTTTGGCATGGCTAGCTATACTTCAGTACTAACATATTCATTACTATTATTGTTTCGGTTGGAGCAGAAGTTTTTCTCTTTCCATGTGGAATTGTAATTCCCTCATGTAAGAATTTATCTTACCTTTAAAACAGGTTTAATGTAACTTCTATCCACCCTAGGTTCTCGAGCTCATTGCATTTAAAGAATGTGCCTGGAATGGAAAGAAAAGGCAGTAGGAGAGGCCATGATTCAAGCATAGAGCTCACATTTTTGCGGTTGTACTGTTCCAGAATCCTTATCCAGGTCACTCCAGAAAATGGGTAAAAGAGTGAGATCAAAAGTAAATTTGCAATTTCTAAGATTTCTAAAATTTACAAGAGCAGTTTAGCCTGGGGGTTAATAGTTCAGGCTTGAAGCTAAGTTTTGGACTACCTGGGACCAGATGATTAGCACATAGGAAACAGCCAGAAGCCAACTGGAATTTTGTCTGCTAACTGTTCCCAGACAGCAGAGCAAGTGTTACTGCCTAGTGGTGTCCCATGACACTATTTCATATTCTGCAGAGGTAAATCAGGTTTCATCGACTGAAATGTCTCTCCCTTTGAAAGCAGCAAACATGATTTGTATGCTAACTTAACTTTAATTTCCTGCATGGTTTATACCTAAAGCAGACACCCATAAAGGATGAAGTAAAAACTTTTAACCATTATTAAAAAGAGAACTTGCCAAGTTAAAAAGCAATTGTATTGAACTTCTAAAGGGTTACAGCAATCCCACTTAAAAATAGCAAAAGAATCAGAGAAAACAAGACTTGCAAAAAAGGAATTTCAAACTTTTAAAACTGTAAGTAAATTATATAAAGAACGTCACCCCTCTAAAGCCCTCTCATGTTAATTTAAGGAGAAAAAATTAACTCTTTGTAAATATAACTGATGTGCAAGACACATACTGTATTTTTAAAATAGTGTCTCAACTAAGTGAAAAATATTAAGTAAACATCCACAGCAAAACAATCTGTAGTGAGCTACTTTCATGAAATTCTCTCTTTTTAGGATTCCCTTTGCTTCATCCTTTAAATTCTCTAAAAGAGATAGCTAACAGATTATATAGTTCAGTGTTTGGCTTTGTACTAACTGTGGTTTTGCATTTTGCTGTATTTCAAAAATTTTCTTCTGTTAAAGGAAAATATTGTGGATAACCACTGCTGTGTTCTTAGATCAGCATAAACCATGTCAAAGAAAATTGGATTGTTTTTTTCCAAATTTCCTTTCCTAATCTGAGATAGTCATAAACAATGGCATGTGTCATCTTTGACTTGTATATTTTAGTCTCACAGTTGCACTGTCCCAACTGTCTCTTCCTTTGTGGGTACATTTTTATTCTTTTTCACTCCTAAGTTATTTCAAATAGAACCCAACCTCCCCTGGAATTCCAGCAGTCGCACTGGAGAATATTTTCAGTTTCCTGCAATACTATGTCATATTAATATTCACCCCATTTCAAAGGATCTGTGTCTTGCCAAAAGGAGATGCCGATGTTGATGAAGTCTGAAGCTCTAGGACGTGCAAAGGTTGAGGTTCAGTGTGCACATCAGGCCTTAAGATGGGTGTGTAGCTTAATGAGCTTTCTGTTTCCTGTACCATTTCTAATATTTTGTGCAACTTTCCCTCTTAACTGATTGCTCTGAATCTGTCAACACAGTAGATGTAGCTCCATTGTGTCTATCATAATAGAAAAAATAATTCAATGTTCTTAGGATTTGGTAAAATAAACCGTACATGTTTATTTGCTAGGTAAATCCAGTAGCATTGTCACATGCTAAATCTTGCATGCATATTGACTAATTGGAATAACCATTTACTCAACTGTGGACAGATAACTAAAATAGCATTGATTTAGAACAGGTATACTGTATTTCCAAAAATCATCTACCAAGATGACCCTTCAGAATATTGCTCTTAGCTGTGTTTTATAACATAGACGAGCAGTCGGGTCTGTTTATCAGCAAATTTCTCATTTGCTCAGATTCAAACTCATTTTATTCCAAAACATTATAATGAAACCAGTTCCTGTGATATATCCATAAGCTTCTGAACTTAGAATTTAAAAGTAGTCATGTAGGTCAATTTTGTGGCTTTCTAGTATAAACTGTAGCCATAACTTTCAATTTGAAATGGGACCCAATACCAGTATGTGATAAATGTTGAAGCTTTCTGTGTATAAACACATTTTCTATGCATGTGTCTCTATGGATACAGTATAAGCAGTAAAACTGGTTCTGTAAGTACATGTAGTTTGTGTCCCTTTGGGTAGGTATATTTAAAAACTCTTGTTCAAATGCCACAAGCATGAATGTGATTGTGCATTGTATACATATATATATGAGTGTCAATATCTATGTATACATGTGCTTAGTATGTGTGAGTATGAATACATTTTTTAAACTGTGCTAATACAAATAATAGCTCTAGAGAAGCTCTCATAACATGTGATAATAGTGGTTTGTTTCTCATAACATACATGAGGCATACAAAATTTCCTAACTCCAGACTGCATTCATTCTGAGAGGCACAGACCTCATGGTTACCATGACAACATGGTACAGTAATGTCTGCAGGTGTTCGTATCTAAGTCCACAGCACTGCTATCTAGAAAGGAATTCCCTTTGACAATGTAGTTCAAAAAGTGTGAGATCTGGAAACCAATCTTTACTATCTCTAATTAAAGTTATTTTGGGATTGGTGAACTCTAAATATTCAAAGGCTACCTTGATCTACATAGTAATTTCTTTCTTCTCTATGGTGATTGCAAAAAGAAAGAAAGAAAGAAAGAAGAAAGAAAGAAAGAAAGAAAGAAAGAAAGAAAGAAAGAAAGAAGAAAGAAAGAAGAAAGTAGCAACATAAAAATAATGGATTTTTCTGGGTAAATTTAGTAAACTTTCAGGAGAGAAATTAATATTTTGGAGGCAGGCAGTCCACTTTTTCAAGTAAACATTTTCACTTGGCAAATAACATATTTGGAATTGACAAGGATCTTCTTAGAATTAATAAAGCCTAAATTGTAGGTTTATGAACTGCTGAATTCAGTGAAAGAAGACTATATATAAATCTCAAGCCATAGTTTCATATGGTCTCACTCAGAGCTAGCTGCGAGCTGAGGGTAATGTGAATGACCCCAGCCAATTTTAGAGGAACAATTTACAGCTCACCAGATCACTCAATTCCTTTTAAAAAGCTCACATGTGTCTTCTAGTTAATTTAGTCATCCCGTCTAGTTGGAATATTTAAAATTATGTGGTGCTCTGTATGTGAAACTTAAAGAATATTTTTGAAGCATATGCAGTGTATGTATGCATTTATGTCTGTGTGTGTGTGCGTGTACACACACATATAGACATATATACATGTATACAAATGTATGCATATGAATGCGTGTGAGAGCAAGAGAAGAAACTCAAGGAAGAGTCTCTTGTTTGTCTTTGTCTCTGTTCATACTGGTATATTGGTGAGATGTCTCACCTCTCTGGTCAAGGCTTTCAGATTTAGCTCTGCTCAAAGCATTACTTTCTTCTTAATATTTTCCCTTGATCCTTAAACTTTGCTCATTGTGTAATGTTCTTAAGATTGTGACAAAAATTCTTCTCACCTTTTTCATTATCTGCTGCCAACTCGATAAAAATTATTCCTCCCAGAAATTCCACCAGTATTATGTTTTATTTCACGTGTATATTTGTTTTGCTTGCTTGTCTATGTTTCTTTGTTCTCTTTTCTAAATCAAACTCTTTTGCCTTTTTTTTTTTATGACGAAGGAATATACGAAAGCAAAATCTCGTCTTCTATGTTGATTCTGTAACTCATATGAGCCGAAAGACTTCCTACTGTCTTCTTGGCACTTTCAGGGTTTCTTAATGCTGATAAATGGACTCTGTGAATGGAATTTTTGAAGCAAATTCCTAAAGCCTGTATCATTCTTGAAGGTCACATGTACCTATTGTGAAAATGTGAAGCTGTATTTCTGAACCTGAAATAAATGATAACATTTGAAGGATTCCTCTTTTTCCTTATTCTTGTATATATCTGTGTCATGTCTGTCCATTCCAAGACTTTTAAATATTTGTTGCTCTTTTGATTGATTTGGTCCAATTACAGAATGATAGTATTTCTGTCATTAATTTATGGAAGGACAAAATTTTTTTAAAACAATCCAGTTGAACAACAAAAGGCAAGAGAATGGGAAACACTTTAGTCCTGACTTAAAATCATTGTTGGAATAGATTATTAGGGACACAAACTTTCAATAGCTGGAGGTTATAATGTGGCACTCTCAATGAAGCACCATGAAATTCTGCCATTAAAAGGGAAGTGTTTGTGGGACCAGCAGTTAGCATAATGGCTATGTCACTGAACTCCCATATCGCTGACTGTGGTTCAAGTCCTGGACCTAGTGGCTTAAACTCACGCCAGGCGCATGTGCGTGCATGTCTAAGATCCTGAGAGGAGAATGGAAGAGAAGGGATTGTGGTGTGGCCATCCCCCCTGGGGGGGGATTTCTTGCTTGCTGTCTCTCTGTCTCTCTCTGTCTTTCTGGCAAGTGCACACACCCTATAGCAAAAATCTCTCTCAAAAAAAAAAAAGGCAGGGGGGAGTGTTCATAAAAAACCCTGGGAAGGAGGAGGAAGAAAGATGTTCTGCTCAGATGTTCAGTCTGCAGAAGCATTTCCTACAGCAAATAATTGGCCCAGTAGTTGGCTTCCATTGTTTGCTCATTGGGCATAGGGGGAGAATTTACCCTTTCCAGTGTCCCCAGTCTTTAGACAAGGTAAGAGTGTTGAGTATTTATGCACGGCCTTGTCCTAATGGAGTTTCCAGAGGCTAGAGAAAGACTAGGTCTCTATTAAAGGAGTTTAATAATAAATAGGTCCCTAATCAACATTCACAGTCCCAGACCATGCCATCCCATGCAGAAGAAAAGAAGGGGGAGGAGGAGAGAGATGGTGGTTCATTTTCTCTCTGGGATAAAGATGTGCTCATTGTGGAAAAAAGGACTGAACAGGCTGTTGTGTTAATTCACTCTTCCAGTGGTAATTTCTTTCTCTTCTGAGTACATTTTCCATGAGTGGAACACTCATGCCTTCCAAAGAAGCTTTTTGCTGGGAGAGAGATTCTGGATGAGAATTATACCACTCACTTGTGTTTTGGTTGGTTGGTTTTGTTTTAGCTGCATGATTCTGAAGTATGTTAATAATATATTCAGAATAGTTGCTAAGGAAAATTACCAAAAACAAAGGACCTTATTGTAACTATTTGGCAAATTTTACTTGTGATTTTAAAATAGTTCTGGCATGAATGAAACTATCTGCTCAATTTGTTTCCAAGATTCTGGTTTTTCTACTTAAACCTTTAACTTTCACGCTGAGGGACTTATCTGGTGCTTGAGTCAGCTGGGCTTCATCCCCTGGTTCTGTGCACACCTGGTGTAGAACCGCCATGCACATCTGCCTTTGCCACTCTTTAGATCATATGCTGGTGCTCTTTCACATTCTGTGGGCTTAGCAATTAAACTACATGCAAGAGATATTGGCCCAAGCTCTGGTCTTAATTCAAAGTTTCCCACAGTACAATCCATGAAATTTTAACAAGTTTTACACATACAGACATACAGCAAGGTTTTTTGGTCAAATATATTTGGAAAATGATGGTTCACAATGAAATGTTTCTTTACTGGAAGACTTTGCAGAAGCTTTCAAATCAGATTTTATTGGGAATCACCAGAGGAGGGGTGGTGTTTACACATTTCTCAGACTTATTTGACCATAAAAGCTTTATTCAAGGAGCATCTCACAGAACTGGTGTTCTGAGGCTCTTGCCTTAGGAACCTGCTTCAGTCCTTTGGGCCAGAGGAGAAGCCATGATTCTGACGATCCCATTACACATTGTCACTAACGGAACGTAGGTGATACAATTAAACAGAAGAACAGTAAGAGTTCCTAATTTAGGGTAATCCTGCTGGAGCTCTGGTGCTTTGTCACCAAGAAGAAAGCCACTTAGGAACAGAAGACATGAAAACAGATCAAAAACATACATGCAGTGCCTTAATAAGCTCATGTAGGAGTGGTAATGTACCATTTTTTCCTCCCATCCTCCTAAAAAGAGCTCCTTTAAATCAATTATATTACTCCCAATAAATGTTTGTAAAGGAAGGGACCCATATTGATTTAAAGATTAAGGATCAACCCAGCCAGTGTAGCATAGCAGTAATGCAAGTACCCTGCAAACCTGGAAGCCACATGCTGACCACGGCTTTGGATCCCCAGGTCAGCCTGAAAATTTACTTGACATGAAAACAGGTCCTAAAATCTCAAGGAGCTGAAGGGAGATTATGGTGTTATGAGACCCTGTTGGGGGATGCTTTTCTCTCTCCATCATAAACACAAACACACACACACACACACACACAATTAAAGCCGATCAGAGAAGAATTTAGAAGAATAGCTATTCTGGGACCAGTAGGTGGCATAGTGGTTAAGGCGTTGGACACTCCCACATGGCTAACCACAGTTCAACTCCCAGACCTGGTAGCTTGCTTTCTCACTTTCTCTCTCTCTCTCTTTCTCTTGTCAAATTAAAAAAAAAAAAAAATCAAGCCATGAGTAAATAAAATTAAATCATTCTTTAAAAAAGAAAAAAGAATAGCTATTTCTATTGCCTCTTTTTCTTCCTTTCCCAAGCTTTCAGGTTCATCCACTGCTCTGGGATATTGCGTCACCCAAAAGATGAGCAAAGAAAGTAAGCTGCAAACATTTTGTGGGATTTTAACAGAAAAGGGAAAAAAAAAGTTATAACAAAGACCTTCCCAGGAATCCTGCCAGAGGAATGTCACCATAAGACTAAATTGTAGCAGTGAGGCAGAGCCAAGAGATTGTGGGTAATTCATCATCCTTATTAACAGTTGAGTATGCATGAGTCACACTCATGTTCTATATACTGTTTTGGCCAAACAATTCTCTTACAAAGTTATTTTTTCCGAAAGATTGGAATAGCTTAATACAACCTGAAATTATAGTTTTCATTTCATATATGGTGTTCATATGACAAATACCAGTGTGCTGAACTTTGAAACTTGTTGGCAACTTAGTATTCCGATTCACTACTCCAGCTTCAGCTTTGAAGATGGCTAGAGTAGGGAACCAGCAGTTAGCGTAATGGCTGTGTCGCTGGACTCCCACGTAGTCGACCGCGGTTCGTGTCCTGGACCCGGTGGCTTGAAACTCACGCCGGGCGCGTGTGCGTGCGTGCCCAAGATCCTGAGAGGAGAATGGAGGAGAAGGGATTGCAGCGTGACCATCCCCCCTGGGGGGTGATTTCTCGCTTTCTGTCTCTACGTCTCTCTCTGTCTGTCTGGCGAGCGCACGCGCCCTACAGTGAAAAATCTCTCCAAAAAAAAAGATGGCTAGAGTATAATGTACATTTGCAATTCGGCATGTAAAAAAAAAAAAAAAGCAAATATTTTCAGCACTTGCCCTCAGGTACTCCAGCACTGTGTAAAGTCATATAGAAAGTTCTGGAAAAGAAATAGTAAAATCCTAAAGTGTGAGATCTGCAGTAGAACTAACTCTGATGGTAAATGGTGTCATCAACAATGTTTTGGGGGCAATGAGAGGAAAGTTAAATATAGGACAAAAGGAAATGAAAAGAAAGGAGCTGTCTGAAGGGATGAATGTCACCTGATGATTGAAGCAAACATCCTAGCTGTCACTGAAATATATTCCAAGACATAAAGTTTCTGATCCTGTTTCTGGATTAGAACCCCAAACTAGCTCAAACAGGAAAGCTTTTTGGCATATGCTAACAGAATGTCCCTTCAGTGCTGTAGGCTCCCTGTTGAGTTTAATGGCTCACCTCCCTACCCTGCTGAGGTCATTAAAGTGCTCTAAAGCCCCTTCAGTACTCAAAAATAGTTCTGTTTTCTGGGCAGGTGATAAATCTCATTGAGTCTGACAGAAATTTAATTACACTTTCTTCATGAAAACACCAGCGATACCTATTACCTGGATCTCAGAAGCGAAAGGCTTTGCAGACCCCCCACAGTTGAAAGGTTAGGCACTACTAACAAGTTCTTCATCATTTAAATGGATGGGAGGCCTCTGTAGTGTGGCCAGCTTAAATTGGACTGAAGAGAAATTGGTCTTGGATTTGAGGAAAGGTAAGATCATTTTTTACCGGTGCTCAGAAATAGCCCCGTTTGGCTCCATGAACATCTCAAAAAAGATGAAAAAGAAGTTTGTTTTTGTTTTTGTTTTTATAGACCTCACTGCTTCACTCACTGATGTGTTACCCAAACAAAATGGAAGTGAGTATGTCTTTGAACATGTAGAGGAGTAGTCCAAATCCCACAGAGAGAGGGGGAATGAGATAACCTCACAGTTCAATAACTTACTGCGATGTTGAGTTCAATACTCGGAATAAGAAATTCAAGTGTAGGCTTCTGCTGGATACTGGTGGGAAAGCTCTGCTTGGCCTGCTGTTTCCCAACTCACAGACAAATGTTCAGTGCATCGTACACTTTATCTTTTCGATCTGCAGCCTATCTTCTTAGCAAACTCCAGAGACTCCTGTCAAAATGAAGCACAGCTCTGTTCCTTATTTTGCAATCCTTGGGCCTGATGAGATGCAACCCACGCTAAAGACATGAGAAAGATCCAGCAAACTATAATAGATTTCACTTACCCTGAACCCACTTTAGAATAAACTAGAATTTCAGTTGCATCCTACTCTCAGGTAGAGAGAAACCCTATGAAATCTTGGGGTCCCCGTGCTGCAGACCTAGCTGCCTAGTTTTTCTGATTTCAGGCTATTATTATACGTGGGATGGTTCCCCTGGAGGAAATTCTTATTAATAAATCTTTTCCTGAGATGGACCCCTGACATTTGCTGCATTGTGATGACATTGTTCATTTGATCTCTTGACACCTTCTAAGTTCTCTCACTTTAAAGAAATTTCACCTTCCATATTTCCATATCAACTCCTGCTCTTATGGAGAGTTCACAACATTCTTGAAATCTTTGGAAGTAGTTGTCACAAAATCTCAGTGGGAATCGACTACTCGAATTACAAAGTTTGCCACCAGTAGTATTCCCAGTTCTCCTGAAAGTGACCGCATAGATTTATCATTCCATAGTGTAAGCTAATAGTGCTTTCTCTCGTTTATTTCTTCCATGAGAGACAAAGAGACAAAAATAGAGACAGAGAGGTACAGATAGAGAGAAACAGTCACCCTGACAGGGTCTCCACACCACTCTCCACTTCCAGCCTCAATCAGCCAGGACCACAAGCACACTCACACGTGCCAGGCATGGACAGGGAGACCCAGGGCCCGCCCGTGTGGCTGCAGCCTCACAGAGCACTGCATTATCACTGCACCCCAGCAACTGGCCACGTTGAGGTTTTAGAGGGAGCGCCAATGGCTCAGACACTGCCAGAGCTGGGGCAAGTCCTGGAAACCACCCATTTTGTCATGTGATGTTCTTTCATTTCCTGCTTGTTTGCATGTTTTCTTATTTATTTGTGTGTGTGTGTGTGTGTGTGTGTGTTGGGGAGGTGGGAGAGTTTGATTTGTATTTCACTTTCATGGCATTTTTTTGCATGCCTTCATTTGGATTTGTTTTATAGTTTAAACATTGTCTTCTGCATTTGTGTTTTTTCTTTTTGTTACTTTGTTTTGTTTTGTTTTTAACCAGGCGACCCCCTCCAGCAGTTCCTGGACGGCCATTTTAACAGCCATCATTCTTCTCCTTTTCGTTCCCAGCAACATGTCTGTCCATGGTATTTAAAAGCCTTCAGTTTTGCACTATATGTTATATGTACATAAAAACTTTTATTTTTGATTCATGTCTATAATAAAAGTGAAGTTTATATGTGATGTTCTTTTTTTTTCTGTTTGTGTGTGTGTTTTTTTTTTTATTTGTGTGTGTGTGTGTGTGTGTGTGTTGGGGAGGTGGGAGAGTTTGATTTGTATTTCACTTTCATGGCATTTTTTTGCATGCCTTCATTTGGATTTGTTTTATAGTTTAAACATTGTCTTCTGCATTTGTGTTTTTTCTTTTTGTTACTTTGTTTTGTTTTGTTTTTAACCAGGCGACCCCCTCCAGCAGTTCCTGGACGGCCATTTTAACAGCCATCATTCTTCTCCTTTTCGTTCCCAGCAACATGTCTGTCCATGGTATTTAAAAGCCTTCAGTTTTGCACTATATGTTATATGTACATAAAAACTTTTATTTTTGATTCATGTCTATAATAAAAGTGAAGTTTATATTTAAAAAAAGAATGTGGGTTTTTTTCTTCACAAAAGGACTCAAATTAAGAATTTGTAAGAAGAAGAAGGCATAATTTGATATCTTTTAAAGACCTTAGTTAAAAAAATATCACTTTTAAGTTGTTAAAGCCTTGCAACTTCAAGATGCTCTTTGGTGGGGAATAATCTCTACTTGAAATTTCTGTCCAATAGAAGAGTGCAAAAAATAAAGAAAAATTATGGGTGTCTAGGTAAGACACAAAAGAATTTCAGTCTACTCTCAGAATCTAACTAGTAACTGCTGTTGCACCTAAATTTTTTATTATTATCTTTAAACCCTCTTATAGAAGGTAAAATATGTATCATGGAAGAAATTCTAAATCTGAAATATAAAAACCTTGCAAATTTTATTTGACAACTTGAAAGTTAAAAACCTTCTCATTCAGAATAAAAGTACAACCGGGCAAGGAAATTTGCCACTTTGAGAAAAAAGATCCTTCTTGATATCAGTGTAGTGCTGGGTTTAAAAAAAAATGGAATCTATGTGAGTTGTAGAGAAAATAATCCTTTTTTATGTCTCAATTCTCAAATGGTAATTCTAACCCTGAAATTTTAAGTTATCTTTTTTTAAGTATCCCAAAGATTTATCCAAATAAAATGTTTACTATTAAGGCACTGTATTACATCCAGCCAAATGTGGGATCTGAAGTATTCCCAATGGTTTGCGATTTAACTCAGAATATTCTTTTTGAAAATTTACATGGCCTAAAATAAGAAGTAAAATTCGCAGTCTTCTGGTGAAAGCATATCTGAATGTGCCTTTCCCCAGTGTATTAGGATAGAAAACTACATGAGAGGAGAGTCAAAAAACATCTTTCGGGAATTGGTATTCCAGTTTCCTGGTAGGCACACGCTTACATTGGAGAGTTATGTGAACGAGGGCAGGAACCACCAGTTCTGAAACGGAGAGCTCTCATTTACAATGCACTCTTTGCATTATAAAAAAAAAGTTAAGGACTGAGTTCTCCACTGAAAAAATTATAACCAGTTTCTCAGGTTCAAGATTTTATATGGCAACATCCATTTTTCCTTGCATCTCAGATCACCTGAGGACCCGTTAGATTCACCGATGAAGAGAGTTCAAAGGCTCCAGAGGAGGCATGATGGAAGTTCATGTTTACTTGGCGGCAATTGAATGGGTCCAGAATAATGCAGCAAGTGCTGTCTTTTGCCCTTCCCTTCACCTCCAGTAACAAAAATAGGAGTAAAAATTCTTACTGGATGCTATTCTCATCAGGTAGTAGTCTGCTACCAACAGACTCAGTGTTTCCAGGTCATTTTATTCATCTACTCAAACAAAAACAGGTCGTAAACGAAAAGGTTTTCTCCAATTCATCTTGTTTTGTTTTCTACTTTGTCTTATACAGGGACTTATTTTTATACACAGTGTTACACAGTTTAGATGTTCCAATATCAAATTGACCTGATAATAAACTAGAAGGGAAAACTTTCATTACAGTAAAATGAAGTGATAAGCTTAGTCTCTCTTTTTTAAAAAAAAAAAA